TATGTGTAACCTGACCCCCTGTAGTGTAATGTTTTATAGCATCAACATGATGTTCGTGTTATGTCTCCTGCAGTCAAAGTCTTGTGATGCTAGCATCCTCTTATAGCATGGGGACATGCCATGCCGACAGCATAGTCTTTATTGAAAGAGTCTGAGAGTTGCAAGTGTTCTTTACATCAGTATGACGATAACGGCCAGTGCCGCGTCAGTTATTTGATGGTGACGGCATGTAGTGTGATGTCACGGATCTTATGGCAATGTTATGTGATGTCAGTGATGTGCAGGTGAGCAGATCAGTGTGGGTGTGACAGTAATGTTATGACACGCCGTCATGCTGGTGACTGTATGCGCTCTCCTGTGAAGAATTTGATGTGACTGTATGCACTGTGAGTCTATGACGGGATGTAGTGTAACGTCAGTAGCCTGTCTGTGACGGAATGAAGTGTAACGTCAGTAGCCTGTCTGTGACGGGATGTAGTGTATCGTTAGTAGCCTGTCTGTGATAGGATGTAGTGTAACGTTAGTAACCTGTCTGTGACGGGATGTAGTGTAACGTCAGTAGCCTGTCTGTGACGGAATAAAGTGTAACGTCAGTAGCCTGTCTGTGACGGGATGTAGTGCAACGTCAGTAGCCTGTCTGTGATAGGATGTAGTGTAACATTAGTAACCTGTCTGTGACCGGATGTAGTGTAACGTCAGTAGCCTGTCTGTGACGGAATGAAGTCTAACGTCAGTAGCCTGTCTGTGACGGGATGTAGTGCAACGTCAGTAGCCTGTCTGTGACCGGATGTAGTGTAACGTTAGTAGCCTGCCTGTGACGGGATGTAGTGTAACGTCAGTAGCCTGTCTGTGACGGGATGTAGTGCAACGTCAGTAGCCTGTCTGTGACCGGATGTAGCAGTAACCTGCCTGTGACGGGATGTAGTGTAACGTCAGTAGCCTGTCTGTGACGGGATGAAGTGTAACGTCAGTAGCCTGTCTGTGAAGGGATGTAGTGCAACGTCAGTAGCCTGTCTGTGACCGGATGTAGTGTAAAGTCAGTAACCTGCCTGTGACGGGATGTAGTGTAACGTCAGTAGCCTGTCTGTGACGGGATGAAGTGTAACGTCAGTAGCCTGCCTGTGACGGGATGTAGTGTAACGTCAGTAGCCTGTCTGTGAAGGGATGTAGTGTAACGTTAGTAGCCTTCTGTGACGGGATTTAGTGTATCGTCAGTAGCCTGTCTGTGACGGGATGTAGTGCAACGTCAGTAGCCTGTCTGTGATAGGATTAGTGTAACGACAGTAGCCTGCCTGTGACGGGATGTAGTGGAGCGTCAGTAGCCTTCTGTGATAGGATGTAGTGTTACGTCACTAGCCTGTCTGTAACAGCCGGTGTAACAATATGGCGGTCGGTAAATATTCGAGTATGGACCAGACAATCCAGTGATCAACAGCTTGAGCATCGATGTACGCGGTTGGTATACGATGACATGTGTCTTACGACAAGCATGGGTTTTCTGAAGACCAATTCGAACCCGGATCTTTACGTGTTTGTAATTTAGTGACGATAATAACATGATGGTAGCGGTATGAGTTTAAGGGGCTACTATTTAATTCGACTCAACTGATGGATATGTGTGTATTTGTGTATATGTTCTGGTGACGGCTGTATGCAGTGTGCCATCAACATCTGACGCTGATGGTATTTTGCTGACGGCGTTATGCAGTGTGGCTTCATCGTCTGATGTTGGCAGTGTGGTGTGTGATCATCTCTACTTGAGGCTATCCAAAGAACAATGGTATGATTTCTATGCGATTTTATCAGTTTTGTAAGCAGTATTCAGTTGTAAGTGCCAGTCTCATTTTATGTGATGATGTGTTAAATCTTCCAACAAACTACACTCTGTGAGTGCTGCAGCTATTTCCAATAATTTCTCACACGAGCAGGGCTATCATAACAGACCATTCCACCTGACTCCCCCACAGAAGAGGACGTGACGGGCGCTGCTGTCTCAAGTGTCTGTCACAATCGTGAAGTATGACCATGAATACCTCTCGGAGTGTTTATGACGGGACAGTGACTTCCCTGTCACCACGTCCCCACACCGACAGCCGTCGACCATCCCCCGATTCAGCCACGAGCCAGTCACCTATCAGCTGCCCCTTGACGGGTGCTCGCTCTGACAGACCAGTATTAGCACGTCAAGACAACGACGCTTGGTTGCGTTGCTAATTCAACCCGAGGCTAGAGAGGTGATCAGTCTATCTGCACGTACCATTCGCGCATGGAGGAGTTGGAAACAACCACTACATAGTAGGATATATGCCAGAGACGTCTCTGTTACTGCTACGAAAATCAAGCCCATATGAAATCAGACAAATCGAACTGGTGTCACAACGTACATAACAAACCTTCTCGTCTTTGTACACTCGTACAGTACGCCGCTAAGTTGCCCTCATGTACCGACGATAAATGAAGGGTTCTTCCGCCCTTACGTGTAACAAAACCACATGGGATAAGGATAATTGATGCTCAACAATGATAACTATTTTAATGTACAAGAAACAATCATTGTCAAAGCTATGATTTTTTATTTAATTACCTAATAACATGAACACTTACCCCCTCTGAAAGCTTTATCTTTTGATGTTATTATCGTCTTTACAATTCATGAAAGTAGAAGAAATCGTTCGAAAAGGACCGTTTAATTACCGTGGCGTGCAGTCATGTGCGGCTTGGATTATACAATAATGCCTCGACACAAGGACTTACAGTAAAGTAGCTGGCTGGCATGGAAGAGACTTCTCGATGAGCGTACCCGAGGAGCGGGTCATCACGTCATTAAATCGTTCGACTGGTATCGATAGACTCTCTCAACATCTCAATTAGACACAGGCTACTCCCACTGTTCGCTGAGTATTTCATTGTTGATAAAATGCATTTTAAGAACTATGAAGTTGATTTGTCACCAGCAGTTCAATCAAGTTTAAACTTTCTACAGCCCTAAGCATGTTTTTGCTAAATGAACAGCTCTCTCTGTATAAATTGTATCTATACAGTTCCTGGACAAAACAATAAAACCGGGTATACAAAGATCAATTGTATTAGTTCAGCTATTTCTAGTCTATCAGTCGACAACTAAAATATGCAAACTGCCGTACCTGGCCTCTCTTGTCTGTGGGTTTCTGGTTGTTCAAATGACATTTTACATGACGTGTCAGCTTACAATCACCACAACGTACTGGCGAATACAGCTTGGTGAAAGAATAATTATTTACTGTATTGAAATGACCTTTTTCCCTACGATGCTACTAAAACATCAGTGCCCCAAGGCAATCAAAACACCTTTGCTCTAAGCAGTTATTGGAAATTTAAAAAACTACACCAAAGCAATCACGATTTCATTTGGATGTTTTTCCCATCTTGCTATAGTGTTTCAGGTGTACAGTGAATGCGAGTGTTTTCCTCTACCATTGTGACGACATTGAACTCTCATATTTCGTTTTAACTGAAAACGACCGGACTAACTGCAGTTTGAATCGCTAGTGAATAGTGTCATGTTGCTACTTATCAATGTTTTTACTTTCATAACATAAATGGTAAATGATTTTAACTATGTTTTGTAAGGTTTCGATTCCTGGAAAAGTGTGAGTGCAATTGTAGCATTGCTAAAATACCATTAAAGTACGACAAACAACAAAAAGTTACGATCGTTTAAATTGTTACGAGCCGTGGAAAGTCTGAATGGGAGTAGAAACCTTCTCATGCCTGGTGTCACTTGTAGGAGGTATGGATGACGTAACAGTACGCTGCCCGGGGGAAACGACAGGGCAGTCCTGTCACAGAGACCATTAGAATTAAAAGCCTGTTCTATTAAGCACGTCAGATACAATAACGCTATACTTTACGCACTTGCGGAACCCAGCGATGGAGTCGTGTTAAAAGTTACGACAATCAATTACAGCACCTTCTTGTTCATTGTTATCAGTTCTGTTAGCAGCTCTGTGTTCTAACTGATGTCCCACGACTAACGTGGTCCAGGCCTGAACTGCCAAACCTCTTCAGATCTCATCAAGCTCTGTTTGGCTTTCTTTGATACACAATGAATATTTCATCATGATTGTTTTGTTTCCAATCGTTAAATTGCGTGCAGTACCAAACGTTTAATGTAAAATCCATTCTTAAATTGAAGCTTGGAATTGTCTAGGAATTTATCAAAATAAGCCCATTGAAAATAAGGTGTGCAGATTAATGAATGTGATGAGGGGTACAATAACTAGCAGCCATGTGGAAGTATAGTCGTATTGAAATAGCTAAGAGATTGCCAGCAACTCTAGAGTGACGTCACTCGTGAACGTCATCGTGACAGCATCTCATTCATCATCTTCATCAGTTACAGGGGTCTCACCTTCACCATCATAGCCGACATCACTGAAGACAGAGCTCCTTTTAGGAGAAACAGATATTGATGAATTTCCTTTTTCAAAGCAATATTGTATGACAAGATGCATGTCATACTGACGTGTGAGCTATTTACAAAGTAACCTACGAGCTACATTGAACAACGGATTATCTCTCCAGAGTGACATAATTCACCGAGCCTTGGTCGGTGAATGTGGAACATTATCTCACGGGCAACAGATAATCCGTAGTCCCCAGTTGGGTGTTGTCTTTTCTTCTAAATGTCACGTTTTCTGAGTAAATGTAGGAAAATATGGGTTTCCAGATCACAAGATGTGACATCATTTCCTTCGTAGGAACGAGGTTACCTGATCAGGTCACCACAATGTGGCGTCAAGAGAATGTGGCGTTCGTATGATGTCATGATGCCATGGGCTGTCTACCAAAAGGTGAAATAGCTAAACATCGTGAACTAGTCAGTCAGCAAGAAAAAAACATAATCAACTCATAATTATGTCGCTGATATCCGGGTCTTAAAGGGCAGTGAATACGTCTTTGGACGATTATTCGCCCTCGTACTGGGACAGAATCTATACAGGGTAGAAAACACATCAGAGTTGAACAACTAGATTTTATTGTATCTCAGTCATCTGATATATCTTAAACGATCGGCATCACAGAAACGCTGAACATACAAATACATACAAGTTGTGTCATGATAAGGAGCGTTTTTGCTTTAGTTCTCATAATTGTCAGTTGATGACATGCACATTGACTCTCGTATCCTCCACAAGGAAAGGTCTGATGCTGCTTGTAAAACGTCCTCCAGATTGCACGGGGAGCCATGAATTCCAGACGGCTGCCATACGGTAGTGCCTTTGATGATCTAGCGAACAGCCAGAACAATGATCCGACTGCACATAAGATCTGATGCCTTACTCGACACGTGACCCCACTGGACACAGGATCTAGTGGACGACTGTCAGCTTATTACGATGAGATGCATTTCACTTGTCAGTTACGAAAGTCCACGTACGCGTCAATAGCCTTTGGGGTATCGAGAAACTTTGTTTAGGATGAAGTTGAGAAGAAGCATGTACACATCCGTCACCAACTTAGATCTAAATGTTCACCATGCCGCAAGTCAGCTGAGTTCAAGAGAGTGGAAGAGAAAGACCCCTGTATTTCGAAATATCACCTGTAGGTTTATCGATATATGTCAGACACTGTAATGGATGCAAAGTGACTGTACTGCTGCAAGATGTATTGTCTCCGTGTATGTGTGTGTGAGGTGGCTCACCTGGCCGAGCACAGCAGACCGGAAGTCGTCTACACGCTGTAGGTGTCCTCGTCAGAACCGGAACTCTTCTTGCCAATGCGCACAAATGATGACTGCCCCATTCGTCCGATCCTCAGGAAACTGCTGCTGGGTTTCTTCATGATGCGGTCCAGGAGAGGCTCACGGCCAATCCTTACAAATGCAGAGGAAGGAATTTTGCCGATACGAACAAAAGCATGGCCTCTCTTGTCCATTTCTTCGTCATCGTCTTCCATAGATTTGCCTATTCTCAAGAACCGGCTCGCCCGTTTGTCGGTATCTACACTTTTACCGATTCTCAGAAATCTATTCATGCCCTTTCCGATTCTTAAGAAGTTGGATCCCCCTCGCTTTTCAGGCTCCTCGTACTCAGAATCGAGTCCAGTCGATTTACCAATACGGACAAATGAGTGTGGCCTGCCGATCCGAACGAAAGAACTACCGTGGCCTTTGCCTATACGCACGAACTTGGACATTCTCTTGTCTAAGTCAGTACCATCACTAAACGCTCCATCAGACGCAGCCAGTTTGTCATCACAAAGTCCGTCTGCGCACTCCGTCGGCGCAGCCTGCACTGTGTTTACCAGCATCACCATGGGAACAAGGGCGGCAACCACGAGGGCGAGGACCTGGGCGACGTTTTCTCTCATGGTTCTGCAAAACAAAGATAAGACTTAGTTATTCATTCAAAGACAATAACTGTCCCATGTGATCTGTTCAGTTGACACCTAGGACAGCGTCAGATGTCATTTACCTCCGCACAGGAAACGGCTATTACGAATATAATTGGATATTACCAATTCGATTATAAATCAAATTCAACATATTACTGAATAACGAAGTTCACATATAGTGATTGGCATTTGCAGAATACTTAAAGGTGTACTTACAACTATATATTTGTGCGTGACATTATAAACATATGCGGCCAAAACAATACTCGACAAGGGCACATTTAAGCCTGAAATGAACCTCCCACTGAAGCAAGTGTGATCACACTTCTCACAGGGTTTAACGCAGGGTGACATTGCTTGTATGACGTCACACAAAACTATAACTCAGGCAATGAGGTAACAATGTAATGACATCACAGTTATAGAACTTTGAGGTGCTTCTCCAATTCACTTTTGAAAAAACGAATCCTGTCGTTAATATGGTATATTATTCCCAAATGAATAATATCGAATTGACGTTCAGCTTATGAATATCGGCTGCGTTGATTCAAAATGGCGGTACATGGACTGAACTGACAGCATGAGGTGAGCAGTGAACACAAACCCAGACCAGCAGACACCACTTAAATATATCCTTACGATCGCAAAAGTTTTAAAAAAACATTTACCGTCATCGATATAGAGATGAAAGGTTTAACTTTAGGACCAGCTGTCTATCAATCTTTGTTTGCGACAAGCTGGCGTCACTCGAGGCTCGAAATCTCAAATAGTGAAAGGAAACTCTAGTTTCGTTCCCTTTGCACATTCGCTCTGAAGTACAGTGGATCTGACACTATCCCTGTGATCCCTTGTGTAATGTATGTATCACCTGCGCAACACTTACAGTACTTTCCTTTGATTTGTAACAAGAGATAGACAGCGCTTTTTTATTACTGTGTTTATTGTTCAAGAGATTCTGTATTAAGCGTCTGGAGTACTTAGTATACACTATGGTCGATGACGAACACACAGTGGTTGAGAGTTAAAAATGTTGTATTACACTGTATGATACTTATAAACAAGAAAGGCTGACAGTTGAAACTACGCTGTATATACCCATAAACATGTGAGGTTGGGAGTTGAGAGGTTGAGAGTTCAATTGTTGAAACTACGCTGTATATACCCATAAACATGTGAGATTGGGAGTTGAGAGGTTGAGAGTTCAATTGTTGAAACTACGCTGTATATACCCATAAACATGTGAGATTGGGAGTTGAGAGGTTGAGAGTTCAATTGTTGAAACTACGCTGTATATACCCATAAACATGTGAGATTGGGAGTTGAGAGGTTGAGAGTTCAATTGTTGAAACTACGCTGTATATACCCATAAACATGTGAGATTGAGAGTTGAGAGGTTGAGAGTTCAATTGTTGAAACTACGCTGTATATACACATAAACATGTGAGATTGGGAGTTGAATATTTTGTACCACAATGTACGATGCTCATTAACAGGTAAAAGTGTTGTATGTATGATGGACATGTACACATGCAGTTTAAAAAATTTGAATCCATCAGTAGTTAAAATTGTACTGAACATGTTAAATAAGTACACAAGCCAATCTTAGATGTCGTTGACAAATTGAGGCGAAACATGTTTTTTTCTCACAAACTAGCGTTTAACTTCCTTGAAATGTTAATTGACGCTATCTTCAATCCTCTTAAGCTACCATGTATCCGCTGTTGCAGGTCTAGAGAAGGTTGTAATCCAATCAGTGTTCCCATGGTATGTAATCATTGTGCTGATCTGTCATGTCGATGACTTTATAAGTCACACAAGAAGATAACATCCTAATCAAATAGTTCAGGCAGTACTTGCGCGCCGACAGGCTTGAACAACTCAGCACCTAACTAAAAAATATTCCAGAAGTTGTGAAATGAGGACTTAATTGAGTGAAAAAGAAAACAATGTGATTACGAGTCGACATTAACGGAATGCCTTGTTCTGCCCTCCTCCTCGGAAAGACGAGAAGACGTCCAGCAATATATCACGTAAATTAGATTTCTATAGGGTAAGAAAAAATGTCCACAAAACTCAGATTTCAGTTGGAACATCGACGAGTACCCGTGACAACAACGTACAGCAGCATGGAACTGGTTTGTTTAAACGGCAGCAATGACCGATAGCGTCCTCCAACGCCGGGTCAAGGCAGGAGCCCCCTATTCTTCAGGCCGTGGACTTGATACGGATGACTACCCCATGATATAACAACCTTTCTTAAAGTTTTATGCGCTTTTGCTGACTACAGAAGATAACGTGCGTGACCTTTTTAAGAGAATGCAATGTAGATTATTAATTTCGTAAAAATGTTATCCTAAGCTCCAAAATGTGATGTTTTCTGGTTCAGTGAGTTTCTGATCTGTTTAATGAAACACCATTATATACTTGATTAAACCCACATATCCTTATGTGATTTGAAAACCGGTGATCAGGTTAATTGGAAAGCAGCCACTCCTCTACTACACCGGCCCAGCGATGTGGAGAACCCTTCAGACACAGCCACCACCAATCACCCTGACATGCCGTGTCATATTCTTAGCATCAACGCATGAATTAAACATTTATACAATAACAGAGACTTCAACAATACAGCAGCACCAAAGAAAAAAGATCTTCAGACACAGTTTTTAAGCGACAAGATGTTACCGGACACAAGAACTGTGAGTTAGATCCAAGTGTTCGTGTTCCGACTTCACAAAACTAGCTTGATGGTACATCTGAAAGGGATCGCTCGGCATCGCAGACACAAAATCAATCAGCTTACAGAAAATAGTTTTAAAAGCATGAATGTCCAAACAATACACAGAACAATGTAAATACACCCCCTCCTTCCACAGGGCTTTGTTTCCCCTTAATATTACCCCCTAAGTAAATTCATGCTGAAACCGGAAGTACAATAATATTGAACTTAAGCTCATCGTATCTGTACATAGACGACAGCTACAGTAAATATTAACACTATAATGGACACATGCAACATATTCAAAACGTGCCAACAAATATTAGTTTACCAATAAAATGTACAGACCATTGTGGAAATAAATGATGTAGGCTATATGTCCAGATATGAGGTTTGACTCATTGGTCGGACTTTAGCCAGCGTCATTGATGTTTTTACACCCTCGACGGGACTATATATTGATACATCTACTTCACAAGTTACGTATTTGTACTGAGCAGGGTAAGAAGTCCGACATGTATCCTATCCTCTTTGCGGTGGCTATATCCCGTATCGTCACTCCTATTTTTTACAGTCAAGAAGGAAATTTCTGCCCCTTGGATATTCCGGGCTGTAATCAGATTTGTTCCCCGGCCCTGTGAGTTATAACACACGGAGCAGTAAGGAGTGTCACTGGGCACACGTGTTGGAAGTGAATGGCTTGGGTGTTCTTCCTACATTCACTAATTAATTTACATGCATTTCAGCCACAAGCTGATTCATAGTTTAACATTCCAGTACAGGTTTGAATGTTGCGCAACTGTCAGAAGCTGACATGAATCATACGGATTATTCTTAGTATGTGTACATGTTATTCGTCTCAACTAGCTGCGTCATCATGTATGTAAGGCTCATCAGAACATGTATGTATGTAAGGCATTATGTATGTAATGCTCATCAGAACATGTATGTATGTAAGGCATTATGTATGTAATGCTCATCAGAACATGTATGTATGTAAGGCATTATGTATGTAAGGCTCATCAGAACATGTATGTATGTAAGGCATTATGTATGTAATGCTCATCAGAACATGTATGTATGTATGTAAGGCTCATCAGAACATGTATGTATGTAAGGCATCATGTGTAAGCTCATCATCAGAACATGTATGTATGTAAGACATCATGTATGTAAGGCTCATCAGAACATGTATGTATGTAAGACATCATGTATGTAAGGCTCATCAGAACATGTATGTATGTAAGACATCATGTATGTAAGGCTCATCAGAACATGTATGTATGTAAGGCATCATGTATGTAAGGCTCATCAGAACATGTATGTATGTAAGGCATCATGTATGTAAGGCTCATCAGAACATGTATGTATGTAAGGCATTATGTATGTATGGCTCATCAGAACATGTATGTATGTAAGACATCATGTATGTAAGGCTCATCAGAACATGTATGTATGTAAGGCATCATGTATGTAAGGCTCATCAGAACATGTATGTATGTAAGGCATCATGTATGTAAAGGTCATCAGATCACTTCATGCGGTGACTGATGACATATTGCAACTACAAGAGCGGAAGACACGTGTTCAGAATACAGACCTAGCACGGAATATGCTAAAGGTGAAGGGATCACAGACCATGCGTCCCCCAGTAGCGTCAAGTACTGCCTGACTCCAACTGGAGGCAGAACTGAGAGTACGAATGAGAGGAATATTGTACAGTCTTAACTAAAATGCAGAATAAAGCATAATTTCGTCTTTCTTCATTGCGAAATAGACATATTTTCCCTGAAATGAAAATATGTTACAGGTAATTGACAAGTTTGGTAATGTTCAGATGTAAGCGGCGATACAGTTCGTCTCATTGGTGTTGTATCTTGAACGAGAGACTACGAGAACCACTGTGTTTCATTGTTGCTGTTACACATGCTTCAGGCGAACAGATTGTGGCTGAAGGATTTTCACAGAATAATGTTGGGCCGTTTAGTTGTCTTGCACATGCATGCTTGTTCTTCCAGTGTGGGAGACACCCGCCCACAGCCGTACGCCGCCAGAGTGTGCGTGTTTCACAACCAAGACGATGCTCATACATCAGAACAACACCTATAACAGGCTGTCTAGATCTGAAACCTGCGTCACGGTCAGATCTCCTTCCTTCTGTTTAAGTGGAAGTTGTTGACGCACACATTTGCCGCAAGTGATGTAACAGTACATGTCGGTGTCAGGCAGACTCTGTAAAAGTAGGTGCAACAAGGGTCGGC